CGGCGAGCACGGCCTTTAACCTTGAGCACCCCCGCCCCGCCGCCCCCGAGGTCGCCCACCCGATCCCAAATGCGAGACCAGAGACCAGGGATCCGCCGCCTCGCACCATGCGCCCCTTTGTCTCGGCGCGCCCACGCGCAGAGCTCGAGGCGACCCGCGCGCAGCCCGAGCGGACGCGGACAAAGGGCCCCCACGCCGCATGCGCCGAGTGCGTGGGGGGGGGGGGCGAAAGCCTCCACGAAGTCCGACGCCTGGCGCGGGCCTGGAAGCAGGCCGCGCAAGGAAGCGACCAGGGAGCCAGCGTCATCAACCTGGACCACAGACCAGCCCGCTCTAGCGAGTGGGGGGTCGCCCTGCACCGAAGACGTGCAGGGGCCGTCGCCGGAGACCTCGCCCGCTGCCCCGCGCCGGGCGCCTGAGCCACTGGACGAGGAGGGAATGGAGCGGGGCTGGGCGCAGAAGGCCGAGGATCGGGGACCAGGGCGCGCCTCCAGAGGACGCAGGCGGAGCGAGCCTCGAGGTCAGCCCGAAGGGAGGGGGTGGAGGTCGTGCTCCCGCACGCCAGGTCGCCGAACGCAGTCCAGACGCCCAGGCCGGGAAGGTCCCTGTGCTGGACTCGATGCCGCAAAAAGGGCAGGTCGGGCTGGTCGCATGACCGCGGCGATGCTTCCGAGCCTGATCCCACATGCCGTTGGCTACAATCGCGCGGAGGGTCGCCTGATGCCGCGAGGTCCAACCATTGCGCTGGCGGCGGAGGGAGGCGAGATAGGGTTGGGCAGGAAGGGCGGCCATGTCCTAGCCGCCAACCCTCGGTGCTCAAGCGAGCGAGGTGGAGAACCGTCCAAATTCCCTTTCCATAATCCCCTGCAATTGCCCGTGTGGTCCATTGCGGGCAATGCCCCGTTGGAAGAAAACCGTCTGAGAATCTTCAACTCCGCCAAAACACTGTTCCTGAGCCTTCAACGACGCAAATGAACGAGACCGCTGCGCCCTGACAGTCCTAAGCTGTGCCAGGGCACCATTCTGGGGCTGAAACGCCGCAGAGCAAATAGACTGTTGCGACGAAGCAATTCCTGGGACTTCTGACCGACGAACTGCCATCCGTATGAAGAACTGTTATGTCCATTGGAACTTCCGGTCGCAGAATTTTGGAAGGCTTCAAGCGAGAACCGCATTATGACAACCACCAGCCCTCCATCCTGGCGATAATCGTAAACTCATGTGAGACGAGCATACAAAGCGCTAAGGCGAGAGCCCTCTCTCGAAAACGACCGGAAGTCCATCCTTGTGAGCACAGCAAAGCTGTTCAGACGAATGTGCGCGACACTAAGAACAAGAACTCCCCGCTTGAAAACTACCTGGCCCCCATCTCTGTAACCGTGCCCGCATTGTTTCCCCACCGCTCAGCTGAGCTGCACACCACCGGGCTCCGCATTGCTTCTTGAAATGGGGCGGGTTGTTCTGCATATTCGCGATGGCGTAGCAAAGAAGAAAGGAGACATTCTTCCTCCGTGCTGGGCGAATCATTCGTCAGATCCCACACCACAGCGCACCCGAACGACGTTGCGCCAGTCAGGTCGTGTGAATGTCTGGCGCAGCCCGCAGGCCGAGTCGACTACGCTGGACCGCCAAGATTTGGCTGCCCGGCGCCATGAGGAGCGGCAGAAGCGAGGGCGACGAGCGCAGAGAAAAGGCGGGGGGGGGGGGGCAAGAGGGGGAAGCGACAGCCAGGCGGACGTGCGCAGAGAAACAAAACCTTGTGCGTGCGTAGACCGCAACCCCCGAGCACTGCCGGAGGGTGCACCCGCACAGGAAACCGACACGAGCCTGGCGGTATGAAACAGGGCCGCCCACCCAGCGAGAGCAGGCCAAATCAGACGGGCGAGCACGGAAGGCCGAGACTGCCAGCGCAGCGCCGAAAAGCACGGGAATGGAGGAGGGGGAAGAGGAGGAGGAAGAGGAGAAACGCGGAAGGGAGCAGCAGGGAAGACGCGAACGGCGCAGCACCCACGATGATCAACACGAGAGCCCTCTTTCGACAAAGACCGGCCTTCCATCCGCGTGGCCATCGGACTGTTTTGAGGCTTCGTGATGGTGAGAGGTGAAGAAGTCTTGAGCGAAACGCTCAGCCCTCCCTGCGGACAAGTCTGGCAGTGCGGCGGAGGGTTACTTACAAGGGAAGCGGATGGAGGAGAAGGAGGGGGAGGAGGAGGAGCAGAGGAAGGAGGGAGGAGGGCACGTCTGGACCAGTGGATGGGGTAGGAAGGAGGGAGGGAGGAGGGAGGGGTAGAGGGGAAGGGGGAAAGGGAGCGGGAAGGGGGAAAGGGCAAAGGCGGGTAAGGAGGGGTGGAGGGGAGCTGGAGGAGGAGTTTTGTAGGAGGGTGGCCGGAGCAGCGGGGAAGGCGAGAGGGCAAGAGGCCCGAGGGCACCCAGGAGGAAGAGACAAGGAGTACAAAGAGAGGCATGTGGAAGGAAAGGGAGAAAGAGTTGGACGGAGGAGGGAGGGAATGCAGATAGGGGAGAGGGCAGGCTCAATGCACTCGCGCCATTCCTGACATCCTCTCCCTCCCACCCATCCCTTCCCAGTCCGCTGGCTTTTCTATACCCACGGGTGGGTGTCATAGCGGACTTGGCCCTCCTCCCCCAAAAGAGGACCCTACGGTGTTGAAAAGAGCAGGAGGGGCAGGAGTATGAGTGTGTGTGTGTGTGTGACTGCACGACAGCGTCTTACCAAGAGGAGAAGCAGGACTAAGGAGGACTAGGAGGAGGCGTCGGATGGGCAGGAGGACGAGGATAAGGATGAGACAACAGACAGGGAGGAGCAGCAGTAGGAAGAGCGTGCAGAGAAGGAGGACCAGGAGAACGGTGAGGAAAAAGGAGGGGGCGACAACGACGACTAACACATCGGAGCTGGAAGTGTGTCCCGCGTTGGGGCGAGGCGCCGCTCTGAACGACGGGCGCAAAGCGCCGCTCCTGAAATGAGACCAACGCTGCAGCGGAAAAACCGTGGTCAGACATCAGAGATGTTTCGACTGAAGCGAAGAATGCACGTTTCTGTTCAGATCCTTTGAACAAAGCTGCGCGGGGATGGCAATATACCACCATGACGTAGTCAAGGGAGGGATGGCGGATCCGCTGGCCCCCTTGCGGGAAAATCAGGCTGCGAAAATTAGGATTGCAGATCCATGTGCCAGTTGCCGTTTCCAGTTTCCACTGTTACAGTCTTGCTTTCTGCTTCCTTACTGTTAATTGTTGCTGAACGCGCGAGGGGGGGAGCCGAAAACCGTCCTGGTTGGCACCGCCAAATCGCGTTGTCTGAATTCCCGGGGGGTCGTGGACAATATTCGCGTCCCCGAAACCATAAACCCCCGTAAATGATGCAATATTCGCGCCCCCGAAGCCGTACACCCTTGTAGTTTACAATGATTGTAAAACATCGCGCCCCCGAAGCCATAAACCCTGATATAACTAAATATTCACGTACCCAGGGCCATACACCCTCGTAAATTACACTACGCTTGCGTCCCCGAGGCCACAAACCTTCGCAACTTACACCGTGTTCGCGTCCCCGAGGCCAGACAACTGCAAAAAAGAAGCAACATTTGCGCCCCCGAGGCTATAAACCATCCTACACTCGCGCTCCCGAAACCATAAGCCATCGTATATTACATTACCTAATGTTCGCGCCACCGAAGCTATACGCCCTCGTAAATTGATATTGGCCCTCGCGTGAAGTCCCGACATTGCTTCGCATCAGCGTCCACACATCCCAACACAGCTCGGGCAAATCCCATTCTGAGAGAGGGGGGGCCGGCGGCATGGGGGCGAAGCCCCCACGGATAATTGTGCTCATATGGTGTAACGATAATGAATGTCAGAACATCTGGGGCCCCGGCGAGTTCTGACAAGCGGGAAGGGGGGAGGGCCTGGGCGGGAGGGCATGGGGGAGGAAGTAGGGCTCGGAGGACGACTCGATCATCCATTCCTCTTCTCTCGCTCGATCCCTCCCCTGGCTACCTCTCGATCCCCCCCTTCGGAGGAGACTGGCTCGAGGGAGCAAGCCGCACTCGCAAGACTTCTGCCGATGCCCAGGCCTTTGAAACCCAATCCGCGTGCGAAGCACAACCTGTACCGAGGAGGAGAATTAGAAGGGTGGTGAGACAGCGTGAGGAGCGAAGAGAGACGGTGAGGCATGAGGGAGGAGGTGGGAGAGGGGGAGTTGAGAGTGGGATGGGTCGATGGGGAAATCGGAGGGATGAGTGAGTACGGGATCGCGATGAGGTAGGTCAGGGAGGACAATGATGATTCTGTTATGGCATGATGATGATGTTGATGATAGTGGTGGTGGTGATGGTACTGAGGTTCATTCTGCTGATGATGATGCTGAAAATTGGTGGTCATGATGCTGATGGTTAATGCTGATGATGCTGATGATGCTGCTGCTGCTGATGATGATACTCAGACGTTGCCTGCAGCAAGGCGCTTCCATGTTACCAGAGCCGTGGACATCTGATACTACTGATGTTGATTATGATGCTGATGATGGCGGCGTTGCTGATGATGACCATGATGATGATACGGGTGAAGATGATGCTGAAGATGATGATGATGATGATGATGATGATGATGATGATGATGATGATGATGATGATGATGATGATGATGATGATGATGATGATAATGCGGGTGAATCTGATGCTGGATATGATGATGATGATGCTGATGAATCTGCTTACTAGTATGATGATGCTGATGATTATGATGGTAAGGGTGGTGATGATGATGATGGTGATGATGGTGATGAGGATTATGATAAGGATAACGAAGATGGCAGAGGAACGAAAGGCGGAGGAGGGCGAGAAGACAGAGGAACGAAAGTCTACTCCCCCTCCCCCTCCCGCGCTCTCTGCTCCTCCTCCTCCACCTCCTCCTCCCTCTATTCATCCCATCCCCTCCCCCTGCCCTTTCTCCTGAACTCGGGACGCGGCTGGGTTCCGATCCTCCTGCTGTCCTTCAGCAGGTGGCGGCCCCTCCGGGGCTGCGGCGTGGTACTCGTCTGGCTCCTCCCAGCCGTCCTCTCATGGGGGCGGAAGGGACAAGACTGGAGTAAACCCAGCACACGGCACGGATCCGCCACCGTGCCGATGGGCACAGAGCCTCTGAGCTTCACTCCTCACTCCTGAGGGGTCTTCACGGGGCTCAGGGGCCGGGCCCCAAATTACGAAATCTCCTGGGGCGTGCCGCGGTTCCTCCGACGTTCCCGGCGTCTTCTCGCGCTACTTTCTCTGGCCCAAGAGGGTCCCAGAGACGGGCCAAGAGGGTCCCAAGAAGCCCGCAAGACGGTCCAAGGAGGCCCCGAGCTGCCGGACGGTCGCTCCAGGACGCTCAAGATGACCCCCAGACGGCCCAGGAGGCCTCCAAGACGCCCAAACAAGCCTCCAAGAGGCCTCCCAAGAGAGCCCCAAGGGACAAAAGTCATTGCTGCTTTTGGTGGGCGTGTTTTCCACCACCACTACCATAAGTGGGAGGGGGAGGGGGTCCTCCTCCTCCTCCTCCTCGTCCTCCTCCTCATCCTCTACCTCCTTCCCCCCTCCAACTTATGGTGGTGGTGGTGGAAAACAGGCCCATGAGCTTTCCAAACCAATGTGAAACAATGTCGTCTTCCCGACGCTCCCACGACCCTGGAGGCCCCAAGGGACGCCCCAAGACGTCCCGAGAAATCCCCAAGACAGCCCAAGAAGCGCCCAAACCGGCCCACGAGTCCAAAACGGATCCAAGAGGGGCCCCAAAGCACGAACACGAACCGACAATCCGAGCCTTCCGCCCCGAAAAGCTCCCAGGAGGCCCCAGGAGGCGCCCAGGCGGCCCCTAGAGGCCCCCGAGAGGCCCCAAGAGACCCCCAAGAGGCCCAAAAGAGACACCAAAAAGGCGCCCAAGAGGCGCCTAAACTGCCTCCAAGAGGCCCCCGAGAAGAGCCCCACGAGATCCCAACGAACATCCAATTGATGCCCACAACCCAGGCACGGTGACGGCATGGCCTAAGGCAACTAGATACTTGCACACGCCCGCCCTGCGAGTCAGTGCGACCACTTCCTCTCGCAGTCGAGATCGCTCGCTGGAGAGTGGGGGCCCAAAGGTCCCTCGAGCATGAAACAACTGTGCGTGTGTGATTTGAGGGTGTTTCAAGGAGTATGCCGTGGTCCGACAGCAGAGCGTTACAACACATCTCAGCCAGTGCAGACTCCGAATAGATCCGAAGACTGACATGACGTGGACTGGAGTGGACTGAAGTAGACGGGACTTGAGAAAAGCAGACTGGACTGAAGTGGACTCTACTCCACTCTGCTCTGCTCTACTCTATTATGTCGCACTCTACTCTACTCTTCTCTACTCTACCACATACCCTACTCTACTCCTATCTACTCTGCCCGACCCTACTCTAATCTACCCTACCCCCTACCGGGGCCCCTACCCTATCATATCCTAATTACACTCTGTGGCTACTCTGTTACACTCCGACTCTTATCCTAAGATATTATACTCTCACTCCACTCTGCTCTGATTTACTCTCCGTTGCTGTACTCGACTCTGCTCTACTCTAAGTGTTCTCCACTTATGCATACATCACTCTGCCATGCACTTACTCTGTCCTCCACAACTTGACTCTACCATCTACTGGCTCTATTTGCCTCTTACCCTGCACAACATCACCCAACTCTCCTCTAACCGACCCTGTCCTAAGCTGCTGGACTCTGCACTCCGTAGCAATTTGGTCCAAACCTACTCAAACCGCGACTCCTCCGCTATGGCGCCCCGGCTGCGCGGCGCCAGATGGCCCCCCCCACGCAGCGCCTGGCACAGCACTCGCCCTCGCGGGCTCGGCCGTGCTGGAGCCCGCCACGCCCGTGGTCTCGGCCATCATGGTCTACGTGTTCCGCGGTTCGGAGTTCCTCGTCGCGCACTTCGTGGTCGGGGATGGACGTGAGCTCGGAGGGCCTCGGCCTCGCTCTCGCCGTCCTTGGGGTCCTGCAGGTGCTGCCGAAGATGGTGAGCTTGGGCGGCATCGGCCTTGTTTGCGTCGTGAAGGGCGCCGCGCTCCCGTGCGTGCCCGTGCACCTCGTGAACACGAGCTCGGATGCCTCCCGGAAAGCGAGGAGGTCGTTCGATTAGTCTTCGTGCGCGCCTGCAGCCTCGCCCTCCTCACTCTCGGAATTCCGCCCCGTGAGGATCCACCAGGGGAGCAAGATCTTCTACAAGTAAGTGGAACGCACACATACTCTGCTCTACTCTCTACTCCATTTTGCTCTACTCTACGCCTACCCCACCCTACTCCTGCCCAAATCTACTCCATGATGTCCGATTCTCTACTCTACACCCTTTCTACTCTGCCCTTTTTCTACTCTTCCCTATTATCACCCAACTCTAGTCTGCCTAGCGGAGATAGAAAAATGTGGCGAAAATGCCGGGTTGATTTCATTGGGCGGCCCGGTCTGGGTTCCCCGGTTCCTGGGCTCACGGGCTCCTAAGTTTCCGGTTCCAGGTTCCCCGGTTCCCGGTTGCTGGTTCTATGACGATTTCGGTGGGCGGCTGGGTTCCCGGGTTTCCGGATTCCCGGGTTCCTGGTCAATCTCTTGATCGATCCTCTCTATCGATCTCACTATCAAGATCTCACAATCGATCACTACCGATGTCACAATCGATCTCGCTATAGATCGCACGAGCGATCTCACGATCGATTTCGCGATCGATCTGACTGAATCGACGTCACTATGGGAGTTGCGATCGAACTGAGTTGGGCAAAGTGCGCCGAGGATCAGACCGCCGAGTTGGGGGGCTGGCGGTCTCCGTTTCGCGCAGACAACACTTGTGCCGCACTCTGGGCGAGGCCGCCCTATGGGGCGATGCCCGCCTGGAAGAAGCTGGCCGCGAAACTGGAGGCGGCCGAGCGCCAAGCGTCGTGTTTGGCCCTCGCAGCACATATCCGTGGAGTGGCGAATAGGGCAGCATATTTGGGCACCCGTAATGTTCACTTCTTATGTCGGTGGAGTCCTGATCCGTTTCGCGCAACTTGTGTTCGAGATTCAATATGCCAGCATGCCATCTCCTGCTCAGGAAAGAACCGGCCTATTTGGACCCATTCGCGGATCGCACAGGCATCGCATCCAAGGCCCCGGCGTGGCGTTCCCCAGACGACTCTGCTTCCGAAGCGCCACCGAGAAGCGAAACAATCGGGGCGCGCCCGCCCAGAGAGCTTCTCCGGGCAACGTTTCATTTTCCAGATGCAACGTTGGCAGCGCCAGATCCGCCCCGGAGTGCCCCCGCGCGCCTCGAAGATTATGGCGCCCCTGGTTCTGCCCGCATCCTCTTCGGCATTGGCGCTGGGTTCGTTCGGGGCCTGCTGGATCAGACTGGTCTCAGGCCCTGCATTTTGCAGCGGCCCTAAGACTGACCGCCCCCCTACATTTTGCTTCAGAGCTGGGCCCCAAGCTGGCGCAGATGAGAGCTTATCTTATGCAGTCGCTCGGTCGTTGTCTGCGGTGACATGAGCGATGGGTGCAGCCAGTGCGGGGCGCTGGGCTTCTTGGGAGCTTCGTGGGGGCCTCTTTTTTTTCTCGCAGCAACAGCGGCGCACATATCCGCTCCAGTCGCAAGCCGAGGACGAAACTATTGTGCACTGCGGCACGGCGAGCAGCATCGCCAGTGCCTCTGCTTCGGCCCGAGCGCGAGGTGGTCAGGGAAAAACTACAGACTGACCAGCCACATGTGGCCGGGCCCGACATGAGAGGGGAGGCGGCCGCGAGGGCGCAACGCAGGGACACCGCGTCATAAGGATTCAAAAGGGGCGACAGAGGCCCGACCTCATCGGCAAGCTCTCGGGCCCGAGCTTGCCGAGCGGGCGCCTGCCTGGGTCAGGTCTCTAAGATTGGGAAGGGCAGCTCACAGACAACCTGGCCACCCCGACGAGCTCCACCAACTTGGGGGACCAGGTCCGCGCAAATGGTGCAACCCTCCTAGAAGTGATGTCGAGACAGAGCTTCGTGGGGGCCTCGTGGAAGCTTTTTGGCGCCGCTTGGGGGCTTCTTGGGGGGATCCCGAGGCTTCCTGGGAGATACTCGGGGCCGAAGGCCCGAGATGTTCGTTCGGAGTCCCCATGTGGACCCCGTCTCGGAGTCGTCCTTACGGCATTTGGAACCGTCCTGGAGGCGTCTTGGGCTGGCTCCGGGCCCTGTCGGGGCGTCTTGGGGAGGAGCTCCCCATGTGGCCACGGAACGTGTGAGGGCTGTGTCGACATCGGTGCGGTGGTGCCATGCGAGCGCAGCCGCTGGGGCCCTCGGTGGAGCTCCCCATGGGGCCACGAAACATGTGAGGGGTGTGTCGGAATGGGTGCGGCGGGCGCATGCCGCACCGCCACTGGGGCCTTCGTTTGAGCTCCTTCTGGGGCCCCGAAGCCAGTGAGGGGTGTGGCGACATGGGTGCGGCGGGCGCATGCGAGCGCAACCACTGCGGCCTTCGGTGCAGCTCCGTATGGTGCCACGGAGCATGTGAGGGGTGCAGCGCAATGAACGCGGTGGTGCCATGGGAGCGCAGTCACTGGGGCCCTCGGTGAAACTCCCGCTTGGGCCACGAAGTGTGTGAGGGGAGCAGCGACATGAATGCGGTGGTGCCCTGCGAGCGAGGCCACTGAGCCACTCGGTGGAGCTCTCTATGGGACCACGAAGCGTGTCAGGGCTGTGCAGAAATGGATGGTGTGGTGCCACGCGGGCGCAGCCACTGGGGTCTTCGTTTGTGCACCTGATGGGGCCACGAAGCGTGTGAGGGGTGTGGCGAAATTTGTGCGCCGGGCGCATGAGAGCGCAGCCACTGCGGCCTTCGGTGCAGCTCCGTATGGGGCCACGAAGCGTGTGAGGGGTGTGCCGAAATGCGCCATGCGAGCGCAACCACTGGGGCCCTCGGTGGAGCTCTCTATGGGACCACGAAGCGTGTGAGGGGTGTGCCGAAGTGGGGGCGGTGGTGTTATGCGAGCGCAACGATTGGCGCAAACGGTGGAGCTCCCTATGGTGCCACGACAAGTGTG